ACACACACACACAAACACAGAGTTCTGCCAGACTAGTCATTTTGAGACCATAAGCATGATGTTTGGGAGGCAGAGAGGGGAAGGTGGGAGGGATGGATTAGATTAAGTTGGTCCAAATTCAAAGGATCACTCATGGCGAGAGGGGGTGACAGATAAAAAGAGAAAAAAAAGTGTGTTTGTGCGAAAGAGAGGCACAGAGGGATGGAAAGGGAGGGAGAAAATGGTCGAGTCATGCAATCAGAGCCAGAGTCTGGCAGCAGCAGGTTGTTTCAGCCCAGATATGACCCAGCTCTCCCACCCCACCCGCCAATCTTTAGCACCCTGCTGCTGTTCCATAATATCACACAACACATCTCAAAGCTCATCATGACAGCCTCCAACCTATAGGAGTATAGGATTTAATGCTGGATCCTATGCCTACCTTGCCTCTCACTGGACCAATAGGATCTTGGATTGTAGCACATGCACTGAGAGGAATCCTCATTCGCTTTCAGCAATAGCTCTTCACTGGGTGTGAGAGTTGTTACACTGTGGATTTGCACTGGATTTAGTCTGGACTTTGGACTTTTATGTGACAATTGAGCAATAAGGGACAGAAAGAGGAAAAGAGGAAGAGAAACTAAGGGAGAAGTGTGGGGACAAACAAGGGGGAGGAAAGGGAGGGCAGGGGGAGGAAGAAGAGGCCAGGGTGATGGGAAACATCAACAAAGCTTCTAAAAAGAACAGTAAAAGGAAGAAGGTAAGGATTCATTTAATTGCCTTGAACTGAGAGAAATAGATTTATCAAAGTGAGCTTGAACTGATCTGTCAGATAACGCTGTGGATGTCCATCTAAGCCTAATCAGTTGTGAAAGCTTGTCAGACATTTGACAGTTTCAAAGCTACATTAGAGCTAGAAACAACTTCCTAATGGACACAACCGTCAAAAGGATTTTGTTTTTAATAAACAATATTTATTGTTATATATATATATATATATATATATATTAAATGTTCACTTATGACAGCCATAACACTACGAGAATGTACATGTGAGTTAGTGAGCTTCATTGCAGTCAGTGGAACTGAAGTCGTAATTTCATCCTAATTCGGTTGGTTCCCCTCCTCTAAGGGGGAGTCGTCCGTAGAACGAAGTGGCGCCCCATTATCTGCCGCCATGCTCGGGGGCCTGGGTGGTGCAGGTGAGGTGGACACGGATGACGAGGAGGAAGGAGGGAGCGAGCGGGAGTTCGATGAGCCCCTGTGCGCGCTGGTTCAGAACTGCAACATGCTGCACAACTTAGTGGGGCCTGCTTGTATCTTCCTCAGACAGGGCTTCGCACAGAGCCAACTTGTATGTATGACATTCACGCACACACACACACAGTACAGAATCATAGCCAAAATCACCCATAAATCTCTTTATCCATTTTCATAGCACTGTCCAAGTGAAGGGGAAGTTAAGGCCATCCATCAGTTCAGTGTGACATCATCTCAGCCCTCCCATCCCATCTCCACCCATGAGAATTTCACCTTGTGAGTGTCTATATACCATCATATCACCATATTTTATAAGAATGTATCTGATTGTATCAAAAGACCTTTTTTGCTGAATATTATTTGTTTTGGTGCAGAAAAATAAAATATATTAATACTCAGGAAGAAAGAAAGGACATCTCACACATACTGCATGCCCTATAGGAGTTGCAAACTGTAAAAAAGAGAATAATTGGTAATATATCAGATTGTAAAATAATAACATAGTAACCGGACTCCCAATTTGTCTAAACTGTACTTTAGATCATAAATTCACTTTCTAACAGTGCTGGAGATATCATGCTTGCCTTTTATTTCAGATTAATGTCGGGGGATGTAGCAGAGATCAATAACAGAGTAATTTCCTGACAGTGGAAGTAGCAGCGCTAATTGAAAAGAATCATTAGGACACTATATAGTCACTGATCACAGGCTTTACTGAGCTTTAGGTTCCTAAGGTACTGGAAGACCTTGGGCTGAGTCTAGAGGAGAAATGTAACAAAACTGACTGACCACATCTATGATTTATTGTTATTTAGACTCTATATACCATTACTGGATTTTTTTGTTGACCACGGTGTGTTTTTAAAGAATTGACAGGTGAAATCCCAGTGAAAAAAGTTGAAGGCAGTCTTGTGAACATGGGCCATGAAGAGCACTATTCTTATCTACAGCCTAGGATTGTTAATGTCCAACTGAATGAATTTCTATCACAATGTTTCAATGCTGTGATAGTTTCAAGGCAATGTAATGGGACACACTGGAGACAACATTACCAACTCTGTTTCAAAAGGACTATCTTGAAGCTGCTATAATCAATTATTTTGCATAAACAATGGACCAAATTGTGTAATGTAAAAATGGTCGACTGAAGGGATGAATCTACAGGGAATTATCACCTGACTCTGCAGATCTGTGAGCGCTTCAATTCAATTCAATTCAATAGGGAGAGAACAGAGGTAACGACAGAAGGACAGAGACAAAGGTGCACAGCAACAACAGTAGCAACAACTACACTAATAGTATAGTGACTGGTGATGATGATGATGATGATGATCAACATGAAGAATCAGCATCTTTTATCTCATTGTTTTGGTTTTCCAGCCAGCAACTTCACTATTTTCATTCACCATTCCTGCTCTCATCAGTGTGATAGCTGCAGCAGCTGTTTTCTAAGTAAACTATTTGATAAACCCACTGTACATTACTTGCACAGCAAAACTGCATACCGACACAGTTAGCCCCTTGCTGGAGAACATAGTGCAGCATTTAGAGCCAGATATTTTTCTCAGGAGTTGTTGGCAACCAAAAAGAAAGCTAAAAGGAGATAGAATATTGTGTCCAGAAACACAGCTCCTCTTTACACTGCCCCCAGGTTGCCAAAAAATCACTTAATTCAGGTTTTAAAATTGACACTAACAACAAAACTGGCTGCTTTTTTGGCACTGAGAACCAACATTTGCAACAATTGCCTTATTGCCAAATCAGATCTCGATATATATATATATATAAATAAAATGCTCAGTTTAAACATGCCTAATAGCAAAAGACATTCTGTCTCTTTGTGTTTGTATGTCTGAATGCACTGTTGGCTACTTTGGCAGACAAATGCAATTACCAACTAACTGGTAATCCTGAGCATTTTTCTCAGGAGTCAGTGAACACAAAACACTGAGCTTAGAGGAGAATGAATATTGGTCTTGTGTTTCAAGTTACCATAAACACTAATGCAAAAGAAAGCTAATGTTTATCTGTTAATAGGCCACTCTTTACTAATCATTTTGCCAATTTTACATTTTGTAATTAAACACAATAAACTAAGATGATGAAAATAATAAACATTAGGGCTACACCAGCTAAGTAGCATGTATAATGTTCCACTTTAATGAAATCAGCATGTTAACATTGTCATTGTGAGCAATATTGGCATGCTGACACTAGCATTAAGGTCAAAGTAATGCGTACTGTATAGTACATCCTCACAAAGCCACTCAGACTCATGTTCTTGTTAAGTTAACAGTGTTGGGCTTTCTTACATCAGTCAAGTAACCCAGCAGGAGCCTTTCTGAGCTGCACAGTCCTGAACCTGTCGGACAGCTTCCTGATCTTACTTATAGTCTTAGATTGAGGAAAGAGATGGGATTCCTCAATACAGATTAGTCTATGCAATGGATAGGGTGTGATTGATAGCCTTTACTAGTTCATAATCCCCTATAATTCCCTTTGTTCTTGAAAATGACAAACTAAAATGAAGACATGTAATAAATACTCCTTTAGCATCACATGCTAAAAACATATGTTCTAGTTTGCATTTGAAAGCAAATAGTGGTGCCAGCATGTTCTTCCTTCACAAACTTTTGTTCATACTGGGTTGCTGTGGTTTTAGACGTTTTTTAAAGCAATCAGCGGAAGTGGTATTAGTGATACTTAGCAGTTTAGGAAAGAAGGCAGAAAACCTACCAAAATGGGAAAACATTTGCTTCCCTGCCCCTGTGCATGAACCCTGTGCCGAACCCAGTACAGATGCAGATGCAGATGGAAAAATCAGAAGCAGATAGGGAAATGAAAAACCAATAAGCCTTTGTGATTTGGAATACAATTTACAGCTGTAATCTCCCTACCACTGTTCTCTCTCCTGCATCCTCTAATCCAGGCCTGTATTATTCCTGTTGCTGATGTCACAGCCTCGCAGAACACGTTGTGAACAGACGTATCCTGGCATCACCTTTTGGCTATGCCAATTCAACATAAACCGTAACTGTACATTTTTGTGATGCTGTAGCTAAAAGTATTACTGTTTGAACTAAGTTATAATAAATTCTAGACTTTCGAAATAATATAAATAATAATAATAATAATAATCATTAGTTTTCATCAATTTATTCAGTACATGTTAAACCTGGGTGAGTGTCTTTGGGTTTCACTGAATATTATCAACATACAAACCATTTCATCAGCTTTGTTGCATGTGTGTGTGCATACAGATATGTGTGCCTTATTTATGTGTTTGGAAAGGGAGAGAGAGGCCAGGGGGAGTGTGTTTGATTTGTCCCTTTGCTTCTGCAAGGGTTTTTTATAATACATTTCAAATGCTTGTTAAGGAGCATATGCACAGCAGACTCAAAGCTTCTCCACCAGAATGAGATTGGACACAAAATTGTGTAGCAGATCAACTAAAAAGGTTATTAGGGTCAGACAGATCAAAAATCAAATAATCCTGTAACAGAATTTCTGCTGAGGCAGTTGAACATGGAACAAAAATGCTTCACAGAAGTGAAGGAACCAGCTGAGGCGTTAAAATGTTTCCTGCTTGTTTTGATACACAGAATGATATTGAAAGTGTGTGTGTAACCTGACCGTCTTTCCATTTCTCTGTATGTCTGTCATTTCTTATATCTGCACCACCACAGGACAGAGATCTACGACCAGAGGAAATGGAAGGTACAGAGATATAAAAAGCTTAATCCAAATCCTCCCTCCATCTCTCGCTCCCTCAGTTATCCCCCTGAACCGCCTTCCTTTCAAACCTCAAACCTCAAACCTGCTGTTTGACTATGAAAAATTGTGTTTTACTGAATAGAGCAGAATTTACAAAGACTTCCCTGAGTTTGCCTTCTCGTTGAATGTGGACCAGCAGAAATCTTTCTTCTTATTTGAACCGTGCAAGATCAAAGTGAATTATTCAAAGGAAAAGATTATTCTTCTAAATTTAAGCACCGTTCAACATTACTCAGGTCTGGCGTAAACTCTCGACATTCACTGGAATGATTTCACTATGGAGTAAATGTCACTGAAATTTGTGATTTTTTTATGTGGAATTGTAATACATTTGGTGAAATCACTTAAACACTGTTATTTGGCATATTAAGTCAGGGTACCACTTTCATATAATGCATAATAAATTATAATGGTTATGTAAAAGTTAACAAATAGTTTCCCATTGTTATAAGCCATTCATAGCCAGAGCAGGTGGCAGGTGTTTATCCTAGTGCAGTAAAAAGAATACTCCTGATTTAGCATTACACTCTTATAACATTGTCAGGCTCTAGAAGAGTTTTAAAAATATAAATAAACGTTTTATTGTCTTAACCTGGTGCCTATGCAGCCTCGGGCTCCAGCCTCAACCAAAGATGAGGAGCGGGCTACAGATTTTACATTTCTTTCTAATGCCTCGCCGCCAGACTTTGTTTCATTTTTTAAACTTGTAGTCTTCAGACCCAACCGACATTGACTCAAGTGACTCATTACAATTCATCAAATTTCGTACAGCACTCTCACAACAGTTTTTTCATATGCAGAAGCCCTCCTAAAGACCTGTAAGCAGACTTTGATGTCTAAAATCGGTGGAGTTTCCCTTTTTAAGCCTTTTTTAAATCAAGTTGGACTTAATTCAAAGTCTAAAAAAGTGTTTATAAGAAATGGATTTTGGTGCAGCCCTTTTATAGAAATTATAGCCCTCTCTCTGCACCACAGCCTTGCACCCACGTTCCCTCTTTCTACAACTCAGATCGAACCTCGCATCAACGACAGTGAACTGGTACCTCACTTGCAACGGTCGGATTGAACCCCCCGCCCCGACCAACACACGCAACACTCAGAATTTCCACCCCTCCTTTGGGGCATTCCCCCGGGCTACACTGGCACTCCATGGGACCGCCGCTGACAGCGACCCCGCTCTTACACACCATCACAAGGTTATTCTTCTCTACAGCTTTAAATTCTTTAAGTTGCCCACTTCAATTGGCTGTCGTCAGCCGGCACGACGGGTCGTCCAATCAGCCGGTTGCTTGGATATCAAAATCAATGATACATTCAGCAAACACTATATATGTCGAAATAACAACTGAAAACAAAAACACACAAGATTGCTACATCACAAACCTGCGGTGTGTGCATGTGTCCGAATGGTTAGCTTTGCTGTTTCGTCAGGCGATGGATGGACAGTCTGATGGACAATTCGGTTGAGGTAATGTGTGTGAAAGAGTGAATGGTGGCACGTCAGTGTAAAGTCTTTGAGTTGGTCGGAAGACTAGAAAGCGCGCTATAACAAGTACGCAGGTCCATTTACCTTTACCCATTTACCACTCGCAATAACCCCACCTGCACACACCTTATGGATGTGATTTTGTACGCGTGGCTCGACAAGGGCGAAATGCGCCGCAAATGGGCAAAAAGCCTGCAATCCACAGAAACGAAGCAGAAGCCAAAACATTACAAGCCCACCAAAACAAACTGCCAAAAGCGAAAATGCTGCAATCCCAAAACACCAAAACCCCAAAAACAACTGCGAGAGAGAAACGCTGCAAATTCGCTCCACAAAACGGAAGTGCGCCAGGCCACTAGGGGGACCCGACCCGATTATATAATATTAGAAGAATATTATAGAAGAATATGATTATAATAATATTATAGAAGAACATGATAATAATAATAATTATAATAATTCTTCTATTATAGAAGAATATTCTTCTATAATATTATAATAATATTATTTTGCGGCGCGTTTGCCCTTGTCAGCCACCGTAATTTAGGGCCACTAAAAGGAACAAGCTCAAAGGCAATAAAAAACCCCCAAAAATATAATAAATATATCTCTATATTCATCTCACTCTTTTTCTCACACGTCTTCCCTGCAGAGCTTCGTGAGGCATTCAGGGAGTTTGACAAGGACAAGGATGGCTTCATCAGCTGTAAGGACCTGGGCGAGTGCATGAGGACTATGGGATACATGCCGACAGAGATGGAACTGATAGAACTCAGCCAGCAGATATGTGAGTCTTACATGCACACATCAGTACATACACAGTGTAAACACATACACAGAGACCACAAAAAAACCTATGTCTATATCTTATAAAATCATCCACCCACAAGCACAGAATTTGAGGTTGTCCCTGCCTCCACCTATAGATATAAAACCAGGAATGTGGATGTCAGCAGGCTGTAGAGAGAACATTCCTCATGATTGTGCTATTGTACAGCCTGGTGGTATTTACTTGGCACTTTGCTCCATTTAGCATTAAACTATAGCTCACTAGGCACTACAAGTGTCATAAATAACTTGGTCACTAACTGATCAATCTGGGTTTTAATTTTCTTGCTTGTTAAAGACACAGAAAAGATCATTTAACAATGTTGTCCGTGCATTCTTATTTTCTCCCCCTCTAGGTGGCGGCAGAGTGGATTTTGAGGACTTCGTGGAACTGATGGGTCCCAAAATGCTTGCTGAGACTGCAGACATGATTGGTGTCAAGGAGCTTAGGGACGCCTTTAAAGAGGTCTGCAATATGCAATGGATTGCAATGAATTAACTTACAGCCAAATAGACCAACTTTTTGCATGAGTACTCCCTTTCTCCAACTTTTACCTGTAATACAGTTCTTTCTATATGATTTTTAATTTTTTTTTTCTACCCCATCCACTTTGTCTCCCAGTTTGACTCTGATGGCGATGGTCAGATCAGCCTTGGGGAACTGAGGGAAGCCATGAAGAAACTAATGGGGGAGCAGCTCAACCACCGCGAGATCGATGAGATCCTGCGAGACGTAGACCTCAATGGGGATGGACAGGTGGACTTTGAAGGTAAGTGATAAATACTTTAGGTAAAGGTAAAAAAAAAGACTGCTTTCAGGTGGCATTAGAGAATGACTGTCTTTGAATAACAATGCAAATACTGTATAATAATATCAGGCATGATACAGTCTTCTTCAGGGTGCATGCAGCATTCAGTACTGATAAGAGCTATTAGGCGAAGGTTTAGGATGAAGCAAAAGGAGATTAAGGAAAATAATAATGTAGTTAAAGGTGGTATTTTTCTTTACCAACAATAACAACATACCTTTTCTTTCCACAGAATTTGTGCGAATGATGTCTCGCTGACTCCAGACCTCACTGTATTGCACTAAACACAACATGGGCCAGACTACACACTGTTAATGTTCGTGTAATTCTTCTTGATGTACAAAGACTTCTTGGTGTCTGTAATTTTTTTCAGTTTCACTTCCATCATGTCTCAAATAACCCCTTTAATGTGTTACTGTTGTATGAATATAATATGTATTTAACGTGATGGGAGATTATAGACTGTTAAAATATATAGTAGTTAATCAAATGAGTAACATGAGTCAATTCACACAAATTAGAAAAAAAACATTTTCTCAAACACAAATAGTATCTCTTAGGCTTAGAGTGATCCCTAAACCCTAGTTTAGGGGTTTAGTTGCCTCGTCGTTTCAGTTTTCTGAGACTGTTTGTTTTTCTTAATTAGAAAATATGTACGTAATTTAGGTGAACTGACACTAATATGCAGTTTACTAGATTACCTCATCTGATAAGAAGTTAGGTGTATGAATATGAGTATGAGGAATTATTGTTACAATTTCAATAATGCCACATCTTAAATCTTCATATGACTGTGTGATTTTATTGTAGAGTTGATAGCAAAAGTCAGTGCTTTGTTAATGATAGAGAAGGTACATGAGATTATATATACATTTTTTTTGTACAAACTGCCACATAAATTCATATACATATCAATTACTTTTAGAATTATCTTCAGCATGCGCACTTTTGATATAATTCAACCAATGAAGGCAAATAAAATTATTGCAGATACTGTAATTTTTAACGTCATATCTTTTTGATAAAGATTTGATAACACAAACATTTTGTTGTTTAAGGTCCATACCTCTGTTTCCTATTCAGGTGGAAATTAAAAGACAGACTGTCTAAAAATACATGTTTATTTTATGCAATCGTATATACTTGTTTAATGTTTTATTTGTACAGTGTTCAACAGGTCTGATCTTATAAAAAATGCATTGTAAATAAAAAAGTGAATAAGGGTGACAATAAACTAGTTTTTATTGACCAGATATCTTTTCTTTTTCAAATTTAACTGGATTCCATTTTGTTGTTGATACTGAAAAGAAAATTATTAATTACTCTGATTCCCAGTTTCTCTGTTCACAGTAATTTCCTGCATTTTTCTCAGATGTGGCCTCATTTCTTATGGAGTCTTCCAGAAGTGTTCCACCGTCCTGATAAAATCTGTCAGATCGCCCCTTTTCTGGCACTTTCTGAGGTCCTCTATAAGTCGCTTTTTCAAAGCATGTGCAGTCTCACTATAGTCAACACTGAAAGGAGCCATCGGTGGAGTCCCATGCCAAACCGGAGGAATATGCCAGCTGCAAGTGTCTGGATCAAACTGCATCACATCTGAGATCTTAGTGATTTTGTCCTTCTTCATCTGAGTGTCCTTCTGGATCATTTCATTGAGCTGTTCTACCAAATATTTACTACTCCTTTCTGCAGCAGGCATGTCAGACATGTTACTATGTACAAAATGACACAGTGCCTTTGTTCCCACATCCTTTAACCTTGTGCATGAAGCATGAAGCACCATCTCCAAGATGTCTTTCTCACTGGAGTTGTCCCTGGAAACGCTCACGATTGTGGCGTCACTTAGTGCCACAGCAAGGCTCACTACTTCCTTTTCACGTTCATGGCTGTAATCATCTTGAACCATTTGATTAGGTTTCAGTCCCTCTGTGTCAATGATCAATAGGCAGTCACACCCCAGTTCCTCTCTAACGTCTTTGTTGACATTGATCAGTTGGATAAATGCCCCTCTGGTGCATGTTCCTTTGCTGACTGCAAATCTGACCCCAAACATGGTGTTGAGCAGAGTCGATTTTCCTGAGTTTTCAGCTCCAATGATGGTAATGACCTTGAGCTTACTGTTGGACTGCATAATGTTGTGAATCTCAGTAAGCACCTCAGTGATCCATTTCATCGGGATGTTTGCTGCATCTCCATCAACAAGTTCAAGAGGGAAACCATCCAGCAGCATCTGAGCACACAGTGCTGGGAGTTTCTCCATGGTTTTTCTCTGACGGCTGAGTTCTGGCAGGTCACTCGCACATTCATACAGCTGCCCACACTCTCGGAAAAAGTGATCCAGGCGTAAAGAACAAACAGATATTTGCTTGTCAATCTCCGCAATTTTTTCTGCGTCTTGGGGAAATTTCTGGCTAATGTCTTTGTATCGATCCCGCAGAGCTGAGAGCTGGTTTCGGGACAGATTGTCCAGATCCATTTCCAACCATTTGAGGAAATAGTAGCATTGTGTTTCTGAGGTGACCACGCCATAAAGGAAGCTTGACATTGCGGCTGTCATCTCAAATCTTAGCTGTTTTCTTCTAAGTTTTTTGTCTTTGAATTCAGAGGTGTTAGTGACTTGTTTAGTGATTTTACTTGCATTCTTTTGCGCAATCTGGCATTCATCACTATCCTCATCAACCAGGATCCCACACTGCCGAGCTGCGTCAGCCAGTTTTGCCACAGGCACTTTGTTCGGGCAGTTTTCTAACATCTTAGAGATTGATTCCTGGAGAGCTTTTATTAGCTCTTCATTAGTATTTTTCTTCCCGGTCACATTAGTTGTCTTTAAACTTGGTTTCATCGTCATCATTTTGAGTGTGGTTTTCCCATGCATGCTGCTAATCAAATTGACATTTGCTTTCACATCTTTTCCTTCCAGAGTCTTGAAGTAATCAGCTTCAGATTCATCACAGAAGATGTAAATGGCTGCTGATGTTTGGCAAAGGAATGAGAATTGCTTGTCAAAGGCCTTGATGTCTCCTCTGAGGTTGGCAACAGCCAGTGGTTCAGTGAATTTGTCTACAGTCTTCTTCCCACATGGGAGGTACCAGCTGATTTCGACTAGCCCCTCTGAAATCCTCCTGGGGACATCACCACACTCCATGTTACGATGATAAAATGTGTCATGGTACTGCTGGGTGTTACTCAACAGTTTGTTCAGCATCTGAGACTTGGACGAGATTGTCTTCCCCAGCCTGACGAATGATACCAGAGGAATATCAGAGAGCACAATTCTTTCCTCTTTCTTTCTGAACGCCTGGTTTGAGGGGCTGAAAGTTCTGACGATATCACGCATGGTCCACAGCATCATTGTGAGTTTTCTTGTTTCATGGTTGGGTAGCAAGAATGGGAGAGCAAACTGACAGAGTACCATTTTAAGAACTATGTCCTGCTGAAGAAAGCCGTCTGAACAGAGAAACAACGCAGTTATCAGGTCCAGGGGATTGATGGCATTGTTCTTGTCTCTGTGTACATCGTGGGATCTGACACTTCTAGCATTTTTATTTAAAATCATAAGTTTCTTGCAGTTATAAGTTTGTTTTCTGCTGTGTCATTCTGATTAATCTCCAGAATAGAACTAAGTGTGAGCTTGTTGTCATAGTAGTCTTCAAGTCCGATCTTTGATAGCACCTCCCTGAGACATGGCTCTGTGAATCAACATGAAGAGACCAATGAATGTACAGGATGTTACATTGTGCTCTTTATCTATTAGTTACACAAAAGTGTAAGTAAGTCTAAAAGAATATTAGTTCAGTCATCATGGGGAGTACTACTCTCAACTACTGTTAAAACCTCAAGTAGTATATTATATAATGTTTTCTGTGGCTCTGGAGGAGGGAGGGAATACCTCCTAATAGGTCATCAGGTTTATCTTGGGTTGTTTTTTATAATGGACAGTTACCAAGGGGGCTAATGAAGTGAAGATTACCAAACAGACCTAATGGGCACAGCCCTAGGGGACCAGGGGTTCAGGGGGGCCCTGAGCCCTAGACTTTGTTGGAAGTGACTACAATGGGCATTTCTTGTTGGAAAGTACCTGGGTGAAGTCAAAAGAAGGGATTGGTCAGTATACCACTTTGGTCAAGACTGAAATAAATCTTCACTATTGGATGGATTGCCATGGATGCTGGATGAATCTTCATGACTTTGGTGATTCCCTGACTTTTCCTGTAGTACCACCAGCAGGTAAAATGTTTCCCTTATCTTGTGAGATATCTTCCCTGACATTTCCTCTAGCACCACTGTGAGGTTAACATTTGTAAGAAGGGTCAGTAATCCCTTAACTTTTCATCTTGTACCAGCATCAGGTAAAAACATTCCTTTGTTTAAAACTATGGTTCATACCCAAACCCATGCCAAACTAGTCCTCTTTCCTAATACAGCTGCATATTAAGAGGGTATAGACAGCATCTTCTTATTTCTAGCATCAGCAGAATGGTCAACAGAATTTTTGTTAAGCTGCAATATACCACTGAAAAAGAAGCAGAACAACTGCAGGGGTGGGAGTGGTAGGAGGGGGGTCTTTTAGGTGTTTCGACAGAGGGGCCCATTGTCTCATAACGTCCATGGTATGATCCAGCATTTCTTAAGCTTGATTTCATGATTTCATGATTCAAAAATAAATCACTGGCTTACACCTTTAACCATTTGCTTTTTTTCCCTCTCTACTGTGTTCTCTTGTCACACTCAAATCTAATAATATATAAATTATAATTATATACTGACATAAACATTTCTTTGTATATATAATATACATTTTAATATTTTTTTGTATAAAATATACAGTACTTATAGTACTTATAGTATGGTTGTGTTTCTGCCAATATTTCATGTTGCCTGTAATATAGTGCTGTATATTAGATATGTTGTGAATTTATAAAAAGGCAGGCAATATAAGCTCTCACCTGTGTGTATTGTTGTAGAGACCTGCTTACTGTACTGATTGTTCAGCACTGTCTCAACAGTGATCTTGTACTCTGTGTCTGGCTTTAAATCAGAGAATATCTTGTAGCACTCTTCGGTGTGTATTGCTTGCTGCTCTTTCCCTGGACTTGTGATAGTTATTAGGAATTGATGTGGAATTCCCTCCATGTTTTCTCCTTTGGTCCATGTCAAGGACAAAGCCGTGGCCTCTGAATATCCTTTTGTTATATGCTGAGGGGCTGGCACCGCTGCAAAAGAGCAGTTCATTGAAATTAAAACAGTTTTATTTTCTCAAAATAATATGTACACAATGCAGTGAAGGGAATATGAAATGCCTTAGCATCTCTGATATTACCTGTGAATACAGATTCTGTGACCCATTCACTTAAATTTCCATCCTGGTCTTCTGTAGCCACACTGAAGAAATACTGTTGTCCAAGCTGAAGATTGTTTATTTCAATTGTATGAAGCTCTTTAATGACTAAGCTCTCCACCTCTCCATCCAAGGATCTCCACTTAACTCTGAACCTCTTAGGCCCCTCCAGTCCCTTAGCGCTTCCCCATCTTAAGGCCACAGAGTTTGGCTTCACTGACAGGAACTCAATCTTACCAGGAGGGGGCACCACTGGCAAAGAAAAGCCTGCACAAGAAATTATTTGTGACACTTGTTAAGTATTTTTATCTATAGATAGATAGATAGATAGCCCTTGCCTTACTCACCTGTCTCAGGTGTTTTAGGCTTAGATATTTTAACGTGACTTTGTGAGATGATGTCATGACCTCTGTGACTTGTGATTTGTGCACAAATGCTGCAGATCTTCATCTGATCAGTCT